CCGAAGGAATTTGCTTTTGTATTCCTATTCCTTCCATGCTAAAATCATGTTTACACCACTCTGCAAGAATGAAACAGTATCAAGAATTTATGGGACAGCGTGAAATCTGTGCCTAGCAACATCTCTTAGATTGTCCCAGATTTCAAGCTGCTTTTCAGATTTACAGGTAAAATAATGGTCCCTGGAGTTCAGAATGTCATTCAGTGTTAAACAGAAGATTCTAGCAGCAAACTAATGAACTGTTTACTTCTTAAAATTTCACAGGATCTAAAGTTGGGCAAGGCCATCAATCAATCTGGGACCCTTAGCTTGTCATCTCCAAATAGGTTTGACAAAAATTCCCTGGGGAGCCATTGCCAAGCATAATGTATAAGACTGAGGTAAATGGACCAGAAGATGGTTCAGATTCCTACAGCATGTTTTCTAGTCATTTCTAGGGTGCATAAAGAGCATTGTGTCTGTTTTGAGGCCTCAGTCCAGAGCTGCAAAAACAGCTTGATCAAATTGAGTCACTTCGGTGGTAGTCCAATCCATTCTGATGCTTGGATTGGCAGTTTATTATGCTTACTTGGAGAAATGTCTCACCTTTACTATTATCCTGACTATTGATTTCTCCCTTCCTCCATCTTGATGCCTCATTATATGCATGGGTCTCTAGTTAATAATATCTGAAAAAGAAAGGATAAGCATGGTAACCGTGATAGGAAAAGAACAGCTAAAATGAACATCACGATTCACGCCAGGCTAACACTCTAGCATTTCAAGCCAAAAAGGAAAAATATGGCAGTTGGCAAAATTGTGTTTCGCTATCTTTTGTTAAGAATTTGTATTTGAAATGTATGAATGTCTTCATAAATGGGATAAACTGTAAAACCTATTTCATTCTTCAGTACAAGGTGTTTGGGATTTTAAACATGACAATATGTGAGAAAAGCAAAGCTGATAATTATTCTCGCTAGTTTTTGGCTCATTTATTCATAGGGTTTATGTGTTGTTCTAATCCAAAAGGATTCTGACGGATTACACTGCTCTCTTGCAGTAAGAAAGTTAACAATACAAATGAACTAGCATAACAATGTAGTTACAATTGCTCTTACAAATCCTTTGGGATCGGAAGAACAACCAAGCACCAAGGAAAAACCCATGATCAGGGCACATTACCCATAGCAGCATCACTCCTAGTGCTCCTTTAAAAATCCAGATTTATTAGTTTTACAGCCCTCTCTAAGTGGTTTATAGGGTCAGTATATTGTCCCCAATAATTTGGGTTCTCATTTTACTGACCTCGGAAGGATGGAAGGCTAAGAATTCCATGGCACATATAATATAATGAGAACCCATATTGTTGGGGGCAATATGCTGACTCTGTAAACTGCTTAGAGAGGGCTGTAAAGCACTGTAAAGCGGTATATAAGTCTAAGTGCTATTGCTATAAGGGAGACAACTAAGGCAATAGTGATGTGCATGGATAATGGTTCCATGTACTAAGTAGTTCGAAAGATTTACTATTTATTTGTTAGATTTCTTTGCCACTCATCTCGCCTCAGGCAACTTTTTTATTATGACACCCTCTTTTCCCAGACTAGCATTCTGTCTTTTAATACCAAAGCACATATGCTTTACATGCCCAAGCACATGAACTTGTCTTTCGATACACAAAGCAGCATGGTCTCCCAGTACATGGATCTCTGAAAAGTATCTAATTAAATCAGGGGTGAAATCCAGCAGGTTCTGACATGTTCTGGAGAACCGGTAGCGGAAATTTTGAGTAGTTCAGAGAACCAATAGCGGAAATTTTGAGTAGTTTGGAGAACCGGCAAATACCGCCTCTGGCTGGTCCCAGAGTGGGGTGAGAATGGGGATTTTGCAGTATCCTTCCCCTGGAGTGGGGTGGGAATGGAGATTTTGCAGTATCCATCCCCTGCCATGCCCACCAAACCACGCCCACCAAGCCACACCATGCCCATCAAGCCACGCCCACAGAACCGGTAATAAAAAAATTGAATTTCACCACTGAATTAAATTCATGAGAATCTGGCAGTCCCTGTCCTCTGCTCTATACACTTCAGGAATTCTCAAAATAACAAGAAGGGGCAACATGTAATCCCCCCTATTCAAAAATGGCTTCTCATAAGAGCACCAAATAATATGTTTTATTCTTAACAGTATTGAATTAATGGCCACTGTAAATTTTAAAAAAGGATAAAGAAACAGGAAATTGAAGTTCCAAGATTGGAGACATGTGCTGTCCCCAATTATTGCCTTTTTGATAAAAATATATTTCAAAGAGAAAATGAGCTAGACTCCTTATCTTCCTTCTTCCTTCTTTCATTCTTCTTTCATTCAAAACTATAACAATACTTTGTCAAGCTGTCTAATCACAAACAGCATGTTGAATATAAGTAGGGCATCCTACCGTCCAATAGATAATCATCTTCTGTTAATGAAAATCAAATTTAAAGAGCTCAAAAGCATATGTGTGCAGGGATGTCTGTACTGTTTGGTCAAAATAGTCACAACAGTACCACAACAGTGTGATTTAAACTGTGTGACATGTCCAAAAATGGGCAAAATATTAATTGTACCATCATGGTGCTTGCAAGCATACTCACCCACATATTTCATAGCCTTGATAGATCACACTTACATTGAACCAAATCACCATTTAGAGTCGACTAAAAGCACCTTAGTGTCAATAGCAATGCAGCATTTTCTGAATAATTTCTATAATACTTTTATGATGGCTCAATTCCTATCTGGCTTCCAAGCTGCCTTATTAACCATAATGAACAAACTGAATAAGGGCACAACAATGGTTATATCAAGAAAATAGGCTGGCTGCAGGAGGGCAATTTTTTATCTGGCTCAGTTATGTTCAAATATTACTGAAAATACTTCCTCTGAATGCATGAAATGATGCATGCTTGTGACAGAATTCCTGGTGACAGTATCAAGCTTGTAAGTATACTCTCCTCTCCTCTCCTCTCCTCTCCTCTCCTCTCAGAATTCCCTAGCAGCTCCTAGGAAAGAAGTGAAGAGAAAATAATAGAGCATAATATTACGGAGAAAATGTAAGGTCTACTGGTCTCCCACAAGACCATATTCCAGCGTATGTAAGGAGCCTGAATAATGTCTGAATTGCAGGTGTGGTTCAGGCACTATGCAGGCAGCTATTTCTGTATAAAAGAAGTGTCTGGTCCCTCCTGCAGCCAAAGCATTGCCAGAGTTTAGGATGTAGTTCACTACAGCATCTGACAGGGAATAGGAACCTGGCAAACACCTGCCCCTGATCACTTTATCAATGAGATTGTGAATGAGGGATTGAATATCAATTTGTACAGTGAGACTCAGATCAGGAAAACACTGAAAGTTAGAAAGTTTAAGTTTAGTAAATGCTGAGAAGAATGGAGGCTGCATCATGTGGACTTGAACTTTAGAAATGATGAGGCAGATATCTTCATGTTGTAGTTAGTAAAATATATTGAATGTAGACGTGTAAGTGGTCCACTAAAAGCTTTATTTACCAAAATTTTATTTAGCAACTTCAATCAATCAATCAATTAAACCATGAATCAGGTTATATACAGGAAGTATTAATGTCCCACCTCACTATTTTTTGTGGCTTAAATAGGAAGACTTGACTATAATATGCACAATCTTATGCAGGCTGAACACAGAATACTCCCATGGTATTTCCTCATCACAATGATGGCACTGTTTGAACAACATACTTAACTCAAATCATATCTTCTTACTGGTAAGGTTGGCAGAGTATAATTGCATTAATTGGATAAAGAGCTGCCATCTGGGAGATGCATAATTCCTGCTCATATCTATTATGACCTTTCATGGTATTCAAGGAGTCTGGGCACCAGGAGGATAACTGCAAGTCTCGGTTGTATCTCTAGCTTCTTCCTTGATGGCTAGATGAACATTACAGTGACTGGAAAGTATGTTCTCTGTTGCCAGCCCTTGCCATTGAGTTCTGTAGTGAAGTAATGTGTTTTTTCAGCATCTCTGTATTTCCATATGTCTGTACCTTTTTCTTGAAGGACTGTCTGAGCTAGACAGCTCAGGTACCTCAGTGAGGTAAACTGCCTCACAGTTGACTGGGATTTATTCTTCGTTTGACAAAGCTGCTTTTTGCTATTTAAAATTATTTATCTTTTTAATTATGGGTTGTGTTTTTACTTTTTTAATTTTAGCCACCCAGAGTCATGTATGTGTGATTGGTGGTAACATCAATTTATTAAATAAAATAATAGTTAACTTGGAAAGAGTAGTTTACAATAAGACAGTTCCAGTTAAAGTTAATACCCTCTCCATGGCTGTCTGCATTTTGGTTTACTTAACATACTAGTCCAGAATTTGACACAATAACTTATTGTATCAATCCAACCAGATGTGCATATAATGGCAGAATTTGTACTTCTTTCTGAACAAAAGTACATTTTGGTTTTGCCTGAAGTGTGAAAATTGCCAGTGTTAAATTGTTTAACAAACTATGGCTAAAACTATCAATGGTATAGATTGATGATGAATTCATTCATAGGGGAGTCTTCTAAAAATTATGTCAAATTTTAAACAAATGAGTTCAACTATAATTATATGTGGTGGTCTATTTGAAATTGGGCATAAGTAATGGATATTTTCTCAAATTTTGAGATATTAATATGATGCAATTGAACAATTAGATCACTAATTTTAGTTTTTTTAAATGTATTTTATATCCAAAAAGGTGTGGGTTAGGCATTAATTTGAGATTGTATCATATTTACTGTTTTGTAAAAATTGAGATATTTAAAACATGTCACATTATTTATACAAGGATTTCAACTTTTTTCTTCCAAAATGATTCCTCAAAAAGTTATTTCCTTTATAATGTTTTCTCTGATCCTTCCATCAATTATTAACATTCCTCTTACAGACATAAGGACGATGCAATTATTCTTAAATAAATGACTTATCCCTCCTTTTGTCTATTTTCTTTTTCCCTACAGAAAACGTCGTAAGCAGTTTACGCGATCACAGCTGAAAAGAGCTTGTAGAATGCCGTGCACTTTAATTCTGAGGAAGGCAAAGTCCCTTATGACTCACAAAGAGACTCAAGAGAATTTGAGCAGTCATTCACAGATGAAGACACAACAGTGAAACTTCCTCTTTTGTGGTTATTTTAAAAAGCTCCGCCATCCAACCCCCCCCCCCCCTCCATAATGAAACAATTTTGGAAGCTGGGCAGAAGCCTGTTGTTTTCCGGGCAAGTCTGGGGCTTATTTTACTAAGGAAGAAAACTCAGATTGGAGTCTTGCCCTAAATGCAAAAACAACTTTGCGATCAAGCAAACAAGGATATTGAATGATTTACCTAAATGTCTCTTCAGTGCGCTAATAATTGCAGCCTCTTTTCATTGCTGAAGAAACAGAAAATGCCTTTTTTTCAGGCAGATTCAGAAAATCTACTGGTTACTGATGAACTTTCTTCTGCCAAGACTCATCTCATAGTGATAATACATTTTGTGTATTCAGAGAAGTGCTGCCTTTTAAAGGTCTGCATATATTGCACTAGCCCATCCTAACTTTGGAGCTATGTCTGTTGAAGCACAATTGCCAAATTGCATTGCCTAATCTTTATTTTAAGGTGCTGTCCTTGAGACATAGCAGTTTCATCAATGCAGAGAATCTAATCTATTACTGAAGTGGAGAGGGGGGGAAAAAGGAGCAAAGCTGTCTGAAAATCAGCATATATGGTCTGAATTATACATCCAAACATCATCAGTAAAGATCTCTAAAAGTTATTTTTCTGTTATATCCTGAACAGGAGCAATGCTTCACTGTGTTTTTTATGGATAGCAACTGCTAGGGCTGAGAGTTATTTCTTTAATGGAACTTTAACTCTCTGTCTATCATTATTTATAGAAACAGATGCATAATTTAGTGGTCCTCTCCAGTAGCTCAGATAAACAAGGTTCCCCCTGGATAGTTGATGGGAAGTGGCTTTGAAAAATAAATTGTAATTGCCTAGGTTGGAGAAAGACATACATCTCAACGGACTCTCGACCTAAAGCAAAGCAGACCCTGCCTCCACTCAGCTCCACCTAAGATTTTTTCCACATGTAGCCTACAGAGCTCCTTTCTGTAATCCCCCAGATCCATCTTTCATTTAGACTGCAGCTAAACACCAAGAACAATGTCATCTATCTTGAGTGGAGCCAAATCCCTCTAACGCAGTGGTGAGAGTTTATAGTTCACTATGGCAGGCAGGCAGGCAGGCAGACAGGTTTTATTTATTTATTTACACTGTTTTGGTTTCTATAACTGTCCTTCAACTCATTTTTCTGATAGGAGATATTCTGGACTATAGTCAATATGAGGCAACTTTAGATTCTGGTCATGGATACACCATGAGATGACTTCTTCAGACTGCAGGCAATAAAAACATAAATTTTGGTCCCAAATATTCATGCGGAGGTCCCCAAACATTTCTCTTTGTTGGAGGGCAAAGTTGCAGCTGTGGAAGGATGATTGAGTTGCCTTAAACTTCTCATAATCCAGCTCTGCATTGAGATTTAGTGGTAATCCAATTTTGATATGTAAACTTTGAAAAAAAAATCCTTTTCATGAAGGACAATCAGTTGTAATTCAGAAATATCAGGAAGGTCACAGGTTGCTCACCTTGTTTCTGTTTTGTTTTGTTGGTTAATAATATTAACTTGTATCTTGATTGGGACTTACTTCTATTCCTGGCTCATAAGTATTCATCTAGAACTCTCCCTCTTCCTCACCTTTTACAAAGCTTATTAGCAAAAGGCAGAAGTTTGGCATTTTTAATAAGTTATGCCATACGGAAAGTCCCTGAATGGGAAAAGCTCATTTCATTATGATGTAAGGCTTACACCTTAGCAGTAATGTTTTTGCTCTCTTTTCCAGATGACATGTGCTAAATGGGATTTTATATCCCTATTCCCTTATCAAAATAAAACAAATGCATTGAAGCGAATCATGATACTCAGTGTGACCAACTTTGTAACGGTGGTGATGGTTTGGCATTTATATACTTCCTTTGGCAAATTGGAAAAAATCTTTCACTTGTTCGGTGACTGATCCCTCAAACAGGTTTATTTATCTTGCCTTATATGCAAGAATGGAATTAAGGTTAAAGTAGCCTGTGTGATAAATTTCATTGAATTCAATGGGAAATGCACAGAACCAGCCAGTAGATTACAAATCTAGAAATTCCAAGTTCAGAACTTGCATCTTCCATAAATTAATTCAGAACACATAATCAAATAAGATTCCGCATCACACCCTATAGCATGAGGATCAAAATTCTCTCTTAGTTTGCAACCTTGGTGAAGGATTACTGAAATGTTGAAGTTCGTTCAGTACTGTAAAAGAATAATATCACCACCATCATATTTGGAATAAAAGTTGATTAGACTCCCCCCACCTTCATAAAGCCTCCTATATCTGGGCTATAATATTTATGTAGTGGACTACCTGCATGGGAGTCTGGAACATGGTTCAATGTTACATGGAAAATTCTGTCATTATTTAAATTTATTATTTAAATCATGCAAATTACACATTTCATGTAACCTGTGTGATGATGTCATGATGTATATGATGACTTTTGTCTCCACTCCAATGTCCATGTTTACCTGGGAGTACCCTAGGAAAGCACCTTGACTTCTATTGAAGAATGGGAAGGTCTAAAGCAGTGTTTCTCAAACTTGGTAGCTTGAAGATGGGTGGACTTCAACTCCCAGAATCCCCCAGCCAGCAGTGCTGACTGGGGGATTCTGGGAGTTGAAGTCCACCCATCTTCAACCTTCCAAGATTGAGAAATACTGGTCTAAATGATGCCAAGAGAAATATCATTGTGTCTAGGTTCATTTAGTGAGTGTAGACGTGATAAGATTTGAAATGAGTTTTCTATCTGAAAATTTCAAATATAAGCAATCTGGGGGCATTACAAATATTAGCAAAGGCTAGTCCTACAATTTTCCCTTCCATTGCAACTAAAAGCAATGGTAGAAATGAGCAGAGAGAGTAGTGGTCTCCTTTAAACATTAGACACCTCTGCACTCATTTTTTTATAAAATCTGGGAGTTATAGTCCATCTTGTTTTTGAACAAATGGAGAAAATTCCACTATGGCTGTTACCAAGGTTATTTTGCAGATAATCTCTTACTTTCAAAGGTAATATATTAATGTCATCAAGTGTATGTAGACTACCGATTGTGTGATATATTAATTTGAATCAGTGGCCCTCTGGAGATAGCAGGCCCATTGTGAAAGAAGTTAAAAGCACCTGAAATATAAGTATATTGTTGGTTTCTTTCTTTTTTAAAAAATCCACAATAATGGTAATCCATGCCATTTAAAAAAAATGTTTCAGCTGTAACAAGAAAAATAATCCTTCAGTTATAACAAGGTTGAAAAATTTATAACTCTGCAATATTGCAGACAAGGACCAATATTAATCATTAACAAGAACAAAATGACTTTTAATGAATTGCCTGTCTTGGAGTGCACCTATTTTTCTGAATAAGCAGATCCCATTATGCTCTCTAAGATGTAAGTGCTGAATGCCAACAAAACATTTTGTTGCAGATTCATAATACCTTTTTTGCCACAATACATCTTCCTATAAATTGCACTTTTGGCTGCAATTAATTTCACAACACATTTCTAGATCACTTGTGTTAATATATTATTTTAAAATTTGAATAAAACCAAATTTTTGCCATTATGCCAATGTCTATTATTCTTTCTATAGCTCCCCACCTTCTGGGTTAAAACAAACATACATACATACATACATACATACATACATACATACATACATACATACATTTCTTTTAGCCAGGTTTTTCCTACGTAACCAAGATTTTTCTGCAGCCCTAGCTCAGTGGAGTCACATCCACTCGATTCTGGGCTTTTTTCTTCTGGCAGCCAGCAGGTCCTATGCCGCCTAGTGAGAGACTTATATAGATCTATTTCTGGCTCAAGCCAGAAATAGATCTATATAAGTTCCCAACCATTAAAATGATTATTTGGAGAAATTCACTGTTTTTATGAGTGAAAAAGTGAATGTATTTTTTATTGGAATTATAAAGGCCAGGGTGTGTTAAAACTTATACCAGAAATGCAAACATTTTAAGGAAGACTTCCATGTAATGTCTACTGAACATGTTAGATATACATTTCAAAAACCTGAGGGATGAGCTGCTACAAGATTATTGCAACAAAAGGCTGACATGTTGAAACAAACTGTATCTTCACCAATTATATTTCAGTTGATTTACTTGAATGGAATATGGTGGGATTTACTTCTGAGTAAACATGCATAGCATTACAGTATTAGACTAATCAGGGCAAACTTTGCTGCTTTTCTATCTTCCAGATATATAGAACAAAATAAGAATTTAGACCACGGTTTTTGAAAGTATCATCTTGAGGAAAGCTATTTCAAGTCAACCATTAAGAGCTATCTAGACTAGGAGATGAAACATAAAAGAAACCAGGGGCATGTCAACAGAGATTTATCCTGCTAAAGTGTTGGTATTTCTAGCCTATTAAAACTCAAGAGCAAAAGCATAATTTTTAAACCCAATTTTCAATTTTGTAGCCTGGCAGCTTTTAAAAAAATTGATTCTGAAATTATATGCTTCATTTTCAGAAAGAAAAGTAAAACTCTTATGTAAAGAAAAACTTGAGATCTTGTTTTCTGATTTAATCTCAAACCAGTCCAGAAGAGAATGCCTTGCCTTCTTCATCAATAGTTGAAAGTCAAAGCTAGGACTCTGGAGAATTTGGTGATGTATATTTAGTATCTGCTAGAACAGATATTGCTGGGCATTTATATATATGTCTCTCTCTGTACAATAAAACTTCATTGTTACTCAAATGGGTCACTTGCTATTTGCTAAGTTTTGAAAATGTAAAATAAATTCGAACTTTCCCATAAAGTCATGCATAAATTTTTCCAATAGTTGCTAGAAGAGCTCGACAAGATGGAAATATATTAAATAAATTATCATATAGATGAAAATCTATGGCCTAATATTAATGTCTATTCCTTAATCACTGAGGATATAATGGGAACTATTATCAGAACTGTGCGATGTTGAATCTGTTAGCACCAGTTTGAAAGTACTGTATGTATTTTTGTTTCTGAATGAGACAGCAGAGATCAGAACAATTGATCTTTTACAATCAATTGTTGGTTTCCAAAACTTTTCTACCTTCCATCATGAGGATTTGGGATAGAACACACTTTTCTGGTTCCCTGTGACTACGGGGACTTATAGTAATCATCTGAATCAGCCAGTATGGCATAGCCGAGTATAATTCATTCAAAAGGAAGGTTGGATCAAAACCACCAGATAAGAAGCTTCTTTTGCCTTTCCACGTTTCTATTTTCTTTTGAAATAGTAGTATTTCAAATAGTAGCCGGTAGTAAAACCGACGGGAGACTCTGCCCACTGACCCTGATGTCATCAAGAAGAGGCAGAAGAGCGTGTGCGTGGCCCCTTTGTGAACCGGTAATAAAGGTAAGTAGAACCCACCCCTGATTCAGAGGCACCTATCGTGTCTAACAGTTTTATCAGAATGACAATTTGAATATTGCAACATCTATACAAGTTTGGTTTCATATGTCCATGTGTGCAACATCATGACCATAAGCTTGAATTATGAGGCCTATTTTTTTTTACAATATGCCTTCTTCTCTTGCAAAGCCTATATGTGTATCCTAACTTTTCTTTCAGAATGTAATTTAAAGAAGCATTTTCCCTAGATAGTATTGTCTACATCTAGAGCTGATCAACTTTGGAAAAAAATATGTACTTATTTATCTCTCAAATTTGTATGCAACCTAACTTCCAAGGACTCTGGGCAGCCCCCAACAAAAGAAATAAGATAAATACAATTAATAACAAATGGGGGGGGGGGGGGGGGAGATGGTAAGAAGGACAAACCAGACAGGAATGAAGCAAAGGGCCAAAGGCCTGGATGAAGAACTGTCTTCATGCCATGCTCTGTGATATTTGAAAGAAATGCTTAGCTGCAAGCAGCTCCAAATGACTTGATCCATGTTCAAATGTCAGGATTATTCACAGGTTTCACAGATCACAGCTTTAAAATTGATCTACTGTATATCCTAATTATTGTTCAAAGAATCAACCCCTTTCTCCCTCTTTCTATCTTCTATTGTTTTATCTATTTAATTTATAAATCGTTTTTAACTTGAAAGCTGTGAAGCCCCAGAAGCAATAGCAACAAAACTAATGTGTGCCTCACAGAATGAATAGTACCATAAAATACCTAACAAATATTCTTTGTTACAAACAAGCATTTCAGATTTTTATTCTTACAGCTCAGGGCAAAAAGAGCTAGGTTGTTCAATGCTGTGCAGCTTACGGCAAGTCATTTCTGTTTCGCTTCATAGTGCAATTTAGTTTCTTGGTGGAATAGTGGAAAACAAAGGAAACAAACTAAAACAAATAAATCTTACATGGGGCAAATCCTGTTGTCAAATACATATATATATTTTCTGAATAGTGCAGTTCAAACACTGGATGGCTGTGTGGGAGGATGAGTGAGCAGTCTTGTAGACACTGAGCTTGAGTCATGTAGGGATTTATAAGTACAGTCTTCAACTTACATCAGTTCATTTAGTGACTGTTCACAGTTACGACATTGAAAAAGTGACTTATGTTCATTTTTCATACTTATGACCAGTGGTGGGATTCAGCCAGTTCGCATTTCGGGAGAACCGGTTATTAACTTTCTGAGCTGCTTGGTGAACTGGTTGTTGGAAGAAATCATTAGGGCAGAGAACTGGTTGTTAAATTATTTGAATCCCACCAGTGCTTATGACCATTGCAGCATTCCCATAGTCAAGTGATTGGCACCAGGCTCATATTCATATTCATGATGGTTGCAGTGTCCCAAGGTCATGTGATCATTTTTTGGAACCTTCTTAGAAGCAAAGTCAATGGGAACGCCAGATACACCTAACAACCATGTTACTAATTTAAGAACTGCAGTGATTCACTTAATATCTGTAGCAAGAAAGGTCATAAAATCGGGCAAAATTCACTTAACAAATGTTTCAATTAGCAACAGAAATTTGGGGCTCAATTGTGGTCATAGGTCAAGGACTATCTGAAACAACCAGCACTTTGAATTTCACTCAGAAATCAGTACAGCCTCTCAGAAAATAACAATTCTGCACCACAAGTATAGGGGAAATATTAATTTTGGAGTTTTGATCCACCACATAATGGTAGAATCTGTTTAAATGAATTACGGTACTTATTACTATAGAATCTGCTTTGTTATCTGATTCTATGTAGTATTAAAACCCAGAAATACTTGCTTTCAGATTTTGCATCAACATGGATTTGATGCTTATTGAGTGAGCAGAGCTGTTAAAGTCTAGACCAGTGATGGCTAACCTTTTTGCCGTCACGTGCAAAAAGTGGGGGGAGTGCAGGGGGTTGCGCACACTTGTGCTCACACCAATAATTCAATGGCCCCCTGCACTCCCCCCGCTTTTGGCACGCAACGGCAAAAGGGTTACCGGTGGGCCCAGTAGGCCCATTTTTCACCCTCCGCAGGCTCCAGAGGCTTTCTTGGAGCCTGGAGAGGGTGAAAACGGTCTCTCCACCCCCTGAAGGCCCTCCAGAGGCCGGAAATGAACCATTTCCCGACTTCCGGTGGGACCAGAAGTCCCAAAAATCAGCTGGCCAGCGTGACATGCATGCTGGAGCTGAGCTAGGGCAAAACTTGCATGCCCACAGATATGGCTCCACAGGTGGCACGCGTGCCATAGGTTTGCCATCATGGGTCTAGACTCTAGAGCCTGCGAGGAAATATTTCTTATGACTTCCATGGTATCACAAACTAAGAAGCTATACATTCATTCATGTTATGCGCACAATTGCACACAGGCACACACACAAAGCAGAAGTAGGAGCTAGTACATCTGAAACATACCATAGCATAGTGTTTTGCAGCAGAACCCCAAATATTCTTTCAATATTCAGTTCCCATAATATATAACTGATATGTAAAATTCAGAACTTATATTTGACTTAGAAAAACCACCTAAGTACCTAATATATGAAAGTATTTGGTAATTGAGGAGGTCATCCCATTTAATAAACTTGTATAGTGACAAATCAACTCAACGAATCAAATAAGATCTTAACAGCAAACAGAATAAATTGGAATATGCATTTATTTGGATTTAAAGTAAAAAGGTGCGGGGCACGGAGATGGAACAAGCTCACTGCATTTGTAATCATTAAATAATGGAGGCAATGAGAGGATGCAACCAATTAATTTAAGCAAAACTTAAGTCAAATGCATAATTTTCCAGGACTGTACTATCCAGAAATGGTGCAAGTTTTCAAGAAGGTATGGTGAACTTGCTCACAATCCCTCCAACGTAAATTTTCTTCTTTCGATCCAAGCAGCTGTAAACCGTTAGCTGTAATATAATAACTGCTTGAATTTAATAGCTGGCTGGTAGCAGTGATTTTTAAGCCTGATGATAACAAACAGATGGTGTGCAATGAAAATTTAATAACATTTGGCCTTTAACAGCGAATACAATTTGTTTATTTATTGATTCACTAAAGCCTATGACTGTGTTCCTGGGGTCAGCCTGAAATAAAATGATCCAATCATCATTAGAAACAGTAAATAAAAAATCTCATAGAACAAAGGACACCGGGAGACTGTAAAATATGGCAAAAATATTTCAAGCAAACTTTCAATATTGAAAAGATATGAAAAGTAAATAAAGGTAATGTCAGTTCATTATCTAGTGGCAGGACATTTGAGTGAAAAGGGAACTCAATAAAAATAATTTGTCTCTCTTTCCATTCATCTCACATGTCTACTCCCAATATTGCTGTAGTTTCATTAATTATAGTTTTTTAATAATCCCCAAATGCAGACATACAACACTTTGAAACAAATCAAATAAGATGGTACCCATGACAAAAAATAAATTTTACCAAGCTATTACCTCAGCAATTCTGGGAATTCCCAGAATTTCCCAGCCAGCATGGAGAAATCTGGAAGTTGAAGTCTACACATTTTAAAGTTGCTGAAGTTGAGAAACACTGGTTTAATTCACTGGAAAGTGTGCCTTGCTCCCAAAGGTTCAGTTTGTTGTTGTCGTTAGGTGTGAAGTTGTGTCCGACCCATCGCGACCCCATGGACAACGTTCCTCCAGGCCTTTCTGTCCTCTACCATCCCCCGGAGTCCATTTAAGCTCACGACGACTGCTTCAGTGACTCCATCCAGCCACCTCATTCTCTGTCATCCCATTCTTCTTTTGCCTTCAATCTTTCCCAGCATTAGGCTCTTCTCCAGTGAATCCTTCCTTCTCATTAGGCGGCCAAAGTATTTGAGTTTCATCTTCAGGATCTGGCCTTCTAAAGAGCAGTCAGGGTTGATCTCCCCTTGGACTGACCGGTTTGATCACCTTGTAGTCCAAGGGACTCTCGGGAGTCCAGCACCATAGTTCAAAGGCCTCAATTCTTTGGTGCTCAGCCTTCCTTATGGTCCAACTTTCACATCCATACATTGCAACTGGGAAAACCATAGCCTTGATTATACACACTTTTGTTGGCAGGGTGATGTTTCTGCTTTAATGCCTACTAAGAACTTGATCACTTGAAATTCACTTTCTGATACAGATTTTATGGTCAAAGCTTCAATCTACCACTTGAAAGCAAAATTTAACATTTAAATTGCTAGTCTGAAAACTGAGGATTTTGTCAAATATCTTTGATCTGAATATCATTCAGATCCGATTTGAAAGTTTTCAGCCTGAATCTCAGCCATCTCTAATGTTTCTCATCCATTTCAGAGGAAGCTAATCATCAA